AGTAAGGTACACATCAATAACATATATATCACATATACCTTTGTTCACTTTGCCATCCTTCTTATCCGCCAAATACTTGGGGCAGTTCCGCTTCCAGTGTCCAGTCTGCTTGCAGTAGAAGCACTCAGTTTCAGGCTTAGGTCCAGACTTGGGTTTCTTCTCTTGAGCAACAACTTGCTTGCCGTTCTTTTTGAAGTTCCCCTTCTTCTTCCCTTTGCCCTTCTTCTTGAAACTAGTGGTCTTGTTAACCATCAACACTTGATGCTCCTTCTTGATTTCTACCTCCACGGCTTTCAGCATCGCGAAGAGCTCGGGAATAGTCTTGTTCATCCTTTGCATATTATAGTTCATCACGAAGCTCTTGTAGCTTGGTGGCAGTGATTGGAGAATTCTGTCAATGACACTATCATCAGGAAGATTAACTCCCAGTTGAATCAAGTGATTATTATACCCAGACATTTTGAGTATGTGTTCACTGACAGAACTATTCTCCTCCATCTTGCAGCTATAGAACTTATTGGAGACTTCATATCTCTCAATCCGAGCATTTGCTTGAAATATTAACTTCAACTCCTGGAACATCTCATATGCTCCATGACGTTCAAAACGTCGTTGAAGGCCCGGTTCTAAGCCGTAAAGCATGGCACACTGAACTATAGAGTAGTCATCAGCTTTGCTCTGCCAGACGTTCTTAACGTCGTCAGTTGCATCAGCAGCAGGCCTGGCACCCAGCGGTGCTTCCAGGACGTAACTTTTCTGTGCAGCAATGAGGAGAATCCTCAGGTTACGGACCCAGTCCGTGTAATTGCTACCATCATCTTTCAACTTTGCTTTCTCAAGGAACGCATTAAAATTCAACGGAACAACAACACGAGCCATCTATCTACAAACAAACATAGACAAGCAAGATACTATCAGGTACTAAGTTCATGATAAATTTAAATTCAATTAATCATATTACTTAAGAACTCCCACTTAGACAGACATCTCTCTAGTCATCTAAGTGATCACGTGATCCAAATCAACTAAACCATGTCCGATCATCACGTGAGATGGAGTAGTTTCAATGGTGAACATCTCTATGTTGATCATATCTACTATATGATTCACGCTCGACCTTTCGGTCTCCGTGTTCCGAGGCCATATCTGTATATGCTAGGCTCGTCAAGTATAACCTGAGTATTCCGCGTGTGCAACTGTTTTGCACCCGTTGTATTTGAACATAGAGCCTATCACACCCGATCATCACGTGGTGTCTCAGCACGAAGAACTTTCGCAACGGTGCATACTCAGGGAGAACACTTCTTGATAATTAGTGAGAGATCATCTTAAAATGCTACCGTCAATCAAAGCAAGATAAGATGCATAAAGGATAAACATCACATGCAATCAATATAAGTGATATGATATGGCCATCATCATCTTGTGCTTGTGATCTCCATCTTCGAAGCATCGTCATGATCACCATCGTCACCGGCGCGACACCTTGATCCCCATCGTAGCATCGTTGTCGTTATGCCATCTATTGCTTCTATGACTATCACTGCCGCTTAGTAATAAAGTAAAGCAATTACAGGGCGTTTGCATTTCATACAATAAAGCGACAACCATATGGCTCCTGCCAGTTGCCGATAACTTCGGTTACAAAACATGATCATCTCATACAATAAAATATAGCATCACGTCTTGACCATATCACATCACAACATGCCCTGCAAAAACAAGTTAGACATCCTCTACTTTGTTGTTGCAAATTTTACGTGGCTGCTACGGGCTTAGCAAGAACCGTTCTTACCTACGCATCAAAAACCACAACGATAGTTCGTCAAGTTGGTGCTGTTTTAACCTTTGCAAGGACCGGGCGTAGCCACACTCGATTCAGCTAAAGTGAGAGAGACAGACACCCGCCAGCCACCTTTAAGCACGAATGCTCGTAACAGTGAAACCAGTCTCGCGTAAGCGTACGCGTAATGTCGGTCCGGGCCGCTTCATCTCACAATACCACCGAACCAAAGTATGACATGCTGGTAAGCAGTATGACTTGTATCCCCAACAACTCACTTGTGTTCTACTCGTGCATATAACATCAACGCATAAAACCTAGGCTCGGATGCCACTGTTGGGGAACGTAGTAATTTCAAAAAATTTCCTACGCACACGCAAGATCATGGTGATGATATAGCAACGAGAGGGGAGAGTGTTCGTCCACGTACCCTCGTAGACTGTAAGCGGAAGCGTTAGCACAACGCGGTTGATGTAGTCGTACATCTTCACGATCCGACTGATCCAAGCACCGAACGTACGGGGCCTCTGAGTTCAGCACACGTTCAGCTCGATGACGATCTCCGGCCCTCCGATCCAGCAAAGGCTCCAGAGATGAGTTCCGTCAGCACGACGGCGTGGTGACGATGATGATGTTCTACCGGCGCAGGGCTTCGCCTAAGCTCCGTGACGATATGACCAAGGTGGAATCTGGTGGAAGGGGGCACCGCACACGGCTAAGGAACGATCCGTAGATCAACTTGTGTGTCTATGGAGTGCCCCCCGCCCCCGTATATAAAGGAGCCAAGGGGGACGAGGCCGCCGGCCTAGGGGGCACGCCAAGGGGGGGAGTCCTACTCCCACCGGGAGTAGGACTCCCCTTTTTCAAGTAGGAGTAGGAGAGAAAGGGGAAAGAGGAGGAAGAGGGGAAGGAAAGGGGGGGGGGGCACCGCCCCCCCTTCCCTTGTCCTATTCGGACTAGGAGGGGGAGGGGCGTGCGGCCCCCTCCTGGCTCCTTCCTCTTCTCCCTCTTGGCCCATGTAGGCCCATTAACCCCCCGGGGGGTTCCGGTAACCTCCCGGTACTCCGGTAAAATGCCGATTTCACCCGGAACCATTCCGATGTCCAAACATAGGCTTCAAATATATCAATCTTTATGTCTCGACCATTCCGAGACTCCTCGTCATGTCCGTGATCACATCCGGGACTCCGAACAAACTTCGGTACATCAAAACTTATAAACTCATAATAAAACTGTCATCGAAACGTTAAGCATGCGGACCCTACGGGTTCGAGAACTATGTAGACATGACCTAAAACCATTCTCGGTTAATAACCAATAGCGGGACCTGGATGCCCATATTGGTTCCTACATATTCTACGAAGATCTTTATCGGTCAAACCGCATAACAACATACGTTTTGCCCGAGATTCGATCGTCGGTATCCAATACCTAGTTCAATCTCGTTACCGGCAAGTCTCTTTACTCGTTCTGTAATACGTCATCTCACAACTAACTCATTAGTTATAATGCTTGCAAGGCTTAAGTGCTGAGTATTACCGAGAGGGCCCAGAGATACCTCTCCGACAATCGGAGTGACCAAACCTAATCTCGAAATACGCCAACTCAACATGTACCTTCGAAGACACCTGTAGTACTCCTTTATAATCACCCAGTTACGTTGTGACGTTTGTAGTACCCAAAGTGTTCCTCCGGTAAACGGGAGTTGCATAATTCTCATAGTTACAGGAACATGTATAAGTCATGAAGAAAGCAATAGCAGAATACTAAACGATCATGTGCTAAGCTAACGGGATGGGTCATGTCAATCACATCATTCTCCTAATGATGTAATCCCATTAATCAAATGACAACACATGTCTATGGTTAGGAAACATAACCATCTTTGATTAATGAGCTAGTCAAGTAGAGGCATACTAGTGACTATAGTTTTGTCTATGTATTCACACATGTATCATGTTTCCGGTTAATACAATTCTAGCATGAATAATAAACATTTATCATGATATAAGGAAATAAATAATAACTTTATTATTGCCTCTAGGGCATATTTCTTTCAGTGCTAAGCACATTAAAAACTTTAGCAACTAAAGGCCCCAATGCATAGGTGCTTAACTTGTTGATGCCAAGCATCCTTGATTTAATGATTTTGTAACTAAAGTTCTTCATGCATTGGTGGGATCCTTCCATTTAAGTGTTTTGCCTAGGTTCTCGCGTTTGGCATTGTTTCTTCCTGGTGTCACCACACTCATCTCTCTCCTCTTAATTACCTTGCCACATCAGACTTTTTGCCTACATAACAGCCTTAGCACCTGTACAAGGTGGAGCATTGGGAGGGGCCTAAGGGACCATGATGCATGTTGCCTAGATGAAGAGAACTGAGAGAAGGAGATATGTAAGAATTTTCATCCATTTTCCAATGAATTTCCGCAAAATACATGTGCACAGGTCACAACGTAGATGGACGGCAGCAGGCGTTTCCGCACTACTGCGAATTTTTGCAACATCCAAAACCATGCATCTTGCGTGCGTCCACGCTTGCTTAGCTAGTAAAATAGACAATTCTACTTTAGAAATACATTAAAAACTAACAACAATGTAGCAAAATAATTATACTAGGGGACAACACTCAGGTGCTTGCTACCTACTTGCTACTTTATTATTGAATCTGCATGCAGAAGAGTTTAATCGATGAGGCCCTCTTAATAATTAACTACGCACTAATTGTTCGACCACCATCAACGGTGATGACTTGGCCGGTGACGAAGGATGCCGCTGGCATGCAGAGGAACGACACCACTGCAGCCACCTCCTCTGGCTCGCCTGCCCGCCGCATCGGAGTCCTCGTCAACTCGTTCTCTTTAATTTTCGGTGGAAGCTGTTCCACGCACAAATGATCAGTTCACCAAATGATTTGTTTCTTAGAAGAGAATCCTACTACATACGTAAAAGTCATAACTAATTAGGCTAAATAGTTTTGCTTGTGTATTTTCTGAATGTAATTTTAATGAAGACTCGGTCGGTGCCTACACTGTTTAACATGTCACTCTTGGTCGCGCCTGGGGCGACGCAATTCACCCGGATCTTGTTCTGGGCCCATTCGGTAGCAAGGCTCCTTGTAAGCTGGTTAATTCATCCTGGTATATTAAAGACGAAAAAGAGGTGTCAGTCTTATGCATCAGTTGTAAGTTGGATGGAGTCACGGTTATGAATACCTTCAATTAGAGCTTCTTTGAGTTTTTTTTTTACAAGTAGTTAGACTGGATAGCTGAAAAGTTATAGTGCGATCTCGTCTCCAAAAACATCGTCGTCTGAGACAAGGAAAGAATCAATAGGCACTGGACTACTGATATCCAGAAATATTGAGATTGAATAGAACCTAAAATCATGTGTGTGAATTTGCATCGGAAAGTACACCGTTCATTTCTTTGGATTTTACAAACATCTATGTCTATACCTATTAATAAAGTAATTAGTGCTCCTGCCCGTCCGGTGAAAAATTATCCCCGAAGTTGTCATAAATTACCCACTATGTCACTTATGAGTGAAGAAAACAATTCGTTTTTTAAAGTCATCATCGTGTTTGGTTCTTATACAGTTATACCCTCATTTGTCACAGGCACACAAGCACCACAATGATTAAGGCCTCAGTCTTCTACAGAGACCCGGGTTCGATCCCAGGGTCTTTCCTTTTTCTCTCTTTTTCGAGCACGCCTCCTCCTCTCACCGTGTTCATGTGCTAGCCCATGTGTGGAGCGTGAAGCCCTATTTTTTCATTTCGGGTTTTTGCTTTCTCTTTTCTCATTTCTGTTTTTGTTTTACATTTTAAAAATTAATTCAGGATTTCGAAAACTCCAAATTTCAAAAAAGTTGTGATTTAAAAAAAATTGCAAACCATAAAATGTTTGTGAATTCCAAAAGTAATTGGGAAATCATAAAATGTTTGTGATTTTAAAAACGGTGTGGCTAGGCCTCAGTTGACTGAGATTTAACCAAGTATCAGTCAAGTGACATAACATGCAAGAGAGAAAAAAAAACTGAAAAGAAGATTTTGCACGGATCTATATGTAAGATCTCATGGATATAGTACCGGCTGAGACCTAACGGAGTCTCAGTTTAGCAAGACTGTTTTAAAAAAACTGTTAACATATTATAAAACATTCATGATTTCAAAGAAAATCTTCGTGAAATAAAAATGATCATATTTTTTAGAAATGATCGTGTATACAAAACATATTCGGAAATTATTAAAAAAATCCATGAAATTATGTACACAAAAATTCAAACAAATCCACTGAAACAGATCCTAAATAATGAACAAAACGAACGGGCGCTTACAGAAAGGTTTTTTAGGTGATCTGTAGAGGTCGTATTATGATATTATTTAGTCCATTGCTGCCGTTAGAAAAAACCCGTGTTCTGTACAACAAGTAGCCCCAAAAATAATCGTGTGTTTGAAACATATTCAGGAATTTTTAAAAAATGTCTATGAAATTTTAGAAAATGTTCACTAAAATTCAAACAGGTCCATTGAAACAGATCGGCAAATAATGAACAAAACAAACCGGATCTTACATAGAGATTTTTTAGGTTATCTATAGTGGCCGTTTTATTATTTTATTTAGTCCATCGCGCGCCGGGTAAAAAATGATTTCCCTGTTCTGTACAACGCTTAGCCCCCCAAAAATTTGACACAGCGTTAGTTTTTGCAAGCTATATGAAAATAACTAAATATCAGATTTGCCTCCATAAATAACTATGTTTATTCTGATACCACAATATTACTCGTCATGGAAAACACCGCGACGCTAGGTCAAGGCAAGACACATCATTCATCAGTCTAGTTATGGCATGGTCGCCAATGCATTTTGCTCAGCCAAAAAGTATTTCATTGTGGCGTCTTAGGAAATCAAGTCATGATGAGACCATCACATTTTCAATTTCTAAAACGAATTTTTAAAAGTCCCTTATCTCATCATGACATGATTCATACGTAGTTTATGAAAAACATTTTAGTCCTTATCTCATCTTGGCATAACTTGATTGTTTTTTTCCATTGCAACACACAGACATATTAGCTAGTATTAAATGGTTGTTATTTCAGACATTTACTTGATCTTTAAAGTACAAATTAAACCACTATTTTCTGAAACCGTCATTATTTGAAAGTTTCTATTTTAACATGGGCGCTATAATAATACTCGAATTTCAAAAGTAGGATAACTGGAGGGAATTACCTTTTGTCATGCTGTAAATTGTGAGGCCCGGGAACCCAAGCGTGCCCCCCGAGGGAGGATATGTTGACGATGCTACCTCCTCCAGCGATGGAGGCCCTGAGGAGCAAGGGGTGCGCGAGCTGGCTCAGGTGGAAGCACGACTCAAAGTTGGTCGCCATGAGGTGCGTGTACTCCTCCGACGTCCACTCCACGGCCGCCTTGGCTAGAATCTGCGCCGCGTTGTTCACCTGCATAGATTAGGAATGGTCCAGAGAAAACACTTAGCCCTTTAAATCCAGACGAACCTCTTTGGATTGGGTGGAATTTTAGAGCCCATTTGCAATCTCAATCTGAAGTTAATCAGATTGAACTGACAAACTCTGAAGATTTCAGAAAGACGAGTCCAAGTCCTCGAAGTTACTGGTTACGGCCACTTACCAGTATGTCGAGCTTGCCGTCGAAAACTTGCTTGACCGTCTCCATGAGCTGCTCCCTGCTGGCGCGCAGGGAGACGTCGCAGACGGAGACGGTGACCGGGAGCCCCTTGGCCTCCCACCGGCGGCGGCACTCCTCCAGCTCCGCCGCGCTCCGGGCGCACGTGTGCACCCGCGCCCCGTGCCCCGCCAGCTCCTCCACGATAGCGTGGCTGTTCTCCACCCATCGATAAGCACATGAATATATGCATCGATCGGTCGATCAACAACTATAGTACAGTAAATTGCGTCTTCGTACCTAAGCTAGCTGATTAGATTACAGTATGATCACGTACCCGATCCCTTTGCTGCCGCCGGTGACGAGCGCCGTCGCGCCGGCCAGGCTCCACCTCTCCTCCCTGCTCATGCCACCGGCCGCCATCTCTCTCTCTCTCTCTCTGTCTTTCTCTAGATCTCTCTATGTGCATGCGTGCGCGTGTTCTGATACTCTGTGCTGTGGAGTGGCAAGATAGAGTATATGTAAGACAAGGCGCGTAGGGACTAGGGAGAGTTACCTCGCTTCACACGTAGCGTAGGCAGTGCGTGGCAGAAACACATGTTCCACGAGCACCGAGCATCATAGTGTCCAGTCGTATTTGCCTACTCCAGACAGTCAAGCCACACTCCAATTTGTAGACCGATCGGTCACTGGCTCACGATGAATGGGAGATAAGATTGGCGATGATTGACAACGTGTACGTGCATGCAACGGACGCGGGTGGCGTTTTCTCAAGAATAGCTGCCGTTTTGGATGTCGATTCCGTTACAGCTTTTACCACTGACTTATCCTTGCAAAATTGTACTAGTATACAAATCCAAAGTTTATTGTTAGATGTACTTGTCGGAGCTTTTGGCAGAGTTTGAATCATTACATCGTTGTAATCAACTACTCCCTCCGTCCCAAAATAAAGTTAGTACAAAGTTGAAACACTTATTTTGGGACCGAGGGAGTACTAAAGTGTGCGTGAGTTTGTTAGAATCTTTATGTAAGTTGTTATCTCTCCCTAATTCTCTTGGTGTGCTTTTTAGGAAAAACCATGGTCGTGACTTTATTCAAAATGGTACTCCTTCTGTTTCAGATATAAGAACGTTTTTGACACTATGCTAGTGTTAATAACATTCTTATATTTTGGGACGGAAGGAGTATAAAAGTTACATCATTTGTTAGGTGCGCGAATATTACGTCAGGTGGTTCATGTTGTTGCCACAAAATAGCACTAGAACTCTTGGAATTACGAGGTAAAAAATGAGCTAACTTGATTGGCTTCTCTAGGTCAGTGATGGATCTTGACAATAGCAGAACCTCTACAAAGGAAGGATCATTCTTCATAAACTGCAGCAGCGACACCGACTGAGTTCCATAGTTCTTCATCGTGGCAATAACATCCATACAGTTAGAGTGTACCAAAAGCTTGTTGCATCCCACTTGCCCTACTAGGATTAGACCGTTTCTCAATGCTATCGGCTTCGTCATAGCTGTTGAATTGATATTTGGAATTGGGCAATTGCTAGCGGCTAGAAATCTTGCAAGGTCATCACGCAAGAGAAGTCAAATCCATCTGCAGTAAA